AAATTCTTTGATTGGTTATATACTTACATCTTTGGGAAGAGTATAGTTCTCATTTGGCAGATTGACAAGCGGCCCGCAACCGGCCCGTAGGTTGCCGGTTCCGAGAACTGTCACCGTGGCTTTACGGGCCGTTTCTGTTTTTGGGTCCGATTTTTCTATTTTTGGTCTCGGCGGGCCAGGACAGGGCAAGTTCACGGGACATGCCCTTGGTTTTTGGCAGGCCGGTTAAGGGTCACCCATAGGAGCCCGGTGGGCTGGGCCGTGACCCGGCCCGCTGACTGGCCATCAAGCCATCTCTATATTCAAGAATCTATTCTCAATTACACATGGCTACGGTTCAGCCCGAACCGTGGAACGGGGCCGGTCCAGAAGTCAATGATTTCAGTCCTGGCCCAAACCATTGACCACGGGTCTCGAATTGACCAGGGGTCTCGAATTTATAAATATAGCGATTGAAATTTTTAGATGGAATAGTTCTCTCTCTCTTATATACCACTAGTACGAATCCCGTGCGATGCACGGGTAAGAGATATTCATTGATATTTATAAATTAAGAAATCACATTGACTAATATTTATAAATTAAAAATATGGAATCAATATGTGATACAATTTATCTATATTAATTTATAGAATTTAATATTAAGATACAACTTATGTGGTGCACAAACTAATAATAATTACATTTTATTCGCTCCAAAATAAGTGTCATTTCAAAAATTTTATTTAGATTCAACTGATTATAATGTGATTCCATAAAATAATTATTTTAGTAAAATTTTATCATATATTTAAAAATCTTGTAACTAATAAATATAAATATAAAACTTATATTGTTTATTAATTAAAATGAATTTATTTTTTATAAATATTCAAATAAAAAATATTTAAGTAGTTGAGTAATTTATTATATTATAAATAATTGACTTTTCATTTATGTCTAAGTGAATATTGACCCGTAAATTATGAATTAATATTTTTTAACTTTTAATTTTTCAAAAACGATAAATAATTTTTTTTTTCATGAAACAATTACAATTTTTAAAATCCAAATATATTTCCTTATATATTTCATTTGTGTCAAATTTTTACACCAAATATAATATACATTGTCAATATACACTTCGTAATAGTTGCAGGCCTTGTTTGGCGATCAGCGGATAGCGGATAGCAGATAGCGGATTGTATTAGCGGATAACGGATTATATTAACTGATTTGACTAGCGGATTGCATTAGATGTTTTTAAATAAGTGTTTGGCAAATAGTTGAAAGCTTATAGCTGTTTGACATTGCAAATTACCAATAAGGACGTTTTATTATTTAGGGTGTATTCTTTTAATAATAATATATTAAAACATTTAATATTTTTTAGTTGGTAATTTATAAATATATATATATATATATATATATATATTTAAAATTTACTAACATTTGATTAAGAAGTTATGAATTTTACATTTTTCTAGATAAATTAATCATATGGATGACATATTATTATTTGTTAGCATCATAAATCAATGTAGATTGTAAAATAAATAATACAAATTAAAAAGTTCTAAATTAAAATTGTAGATTGTGAATCCTGTATCCCCAAAAAGCTCCTCTAATGAGCTTTTTTGAAATTAGAGTTTTGGGCCTAAAAAGCTTATCAAATAAGCTATTTACCAAACAAGCTCCATAGCGGATTTGACGGGTCAAACCTCTCAATTAAGTCCAATCCGCTAATTTATCTTCAATCCGCTATCTTCCAAACGGGGCCGCAGTATATTATATATCTACCATATATATTATACATTGTCACTCTATTATATACTAAATTTAAACTATACAACTAAACAAGAAAATAACTGCAATATTTGACCAAAATAATTATATGCATTATTTACATTCATTTTTTAATTTGAATTTCAAATGATTGAGCTCTACTTTTTACAAATGTTTAAAATCAATCTACTTTTTACAAATGTTTAAAAAAGTTAGTATAAATGTAAAATTGAAATACTTTGGCAACATATATGACAATATCTACTCTCAAGCTATGTCCACTCTAAAGTACAAATATGCAAAGAACTTGTTCTTGGAAGCTTGAACAACCTAAAAAGGTTAAAGGCCAACAATCACTTCATTAGGAAATCCCGTCTTTCTTTTTGTTTACTAGTATGTAACCCGTGCGATGCACGGACTGTATTTGTTTTGGTAAAATTTATAAATTGAAGGTTATTACGTAGAGCATTTGTCACTTGATCTAAAATATTCGTCATAAAAAAGTCATACATTGTTAAAAATCTCTTTGTACATAACATTATTAGTTTTTAATACAACCAACCCACATCCTTGCTCCATCAAATTATTTTATATAAAAAAGCAAATTAAAAAATATCAAAATTTATAACACTTTAATTTTTTAATACTACTACCACACAATCTTGCTTTACTAACTACATTATGAGAACTCATGGATAACCTTTGCCTTTATAACGACTCTCAAAACTAATAGTATTGTCCCTATAATAGATAAAATAATAATTTCAAACTAATAATTTTTTCTTAAATGTATATAACAATTAAATATCTTTATGCAAATACTTACTCCAAATCGAGAAGAGTAAAGTCAATCATTTGGGTATGTTGTCGTGCAACTTGCTTGAATTGCACTTGTTGAATTTCTACTACCAACCCAATGACATCTACATTCATAAGAAATAAAAAATATTTATTTAATCATTGTTAGATATGATAATGAATATATTTGAAAGTTATTCTTATCGAAAAGTGAAGACTCATCGACATTTTCTACATCACAAAATGTTGCAAAATTTCAAAAATCAAAACGGAAAATAGAGAAATAGGTTGGGTTGGCTATGATTTTTATTTTTCTATGCAAAATTATTTTGTATTTGATAATTGCAGATCCATACTAAGATTTCTTTCCACTTTGTAGTTGCAAATTGCATAAACATCTTCTTCCTCTAATTCTTTTCGGATTTTCTGAAGTTGCAACATAACTCTCTTTGTACTTTCAACATCTTTGATAAGAACGAAAGGTTGGTCCATTTTTTGTTTGGCACTTACTATGGATTTCCCAATTTTTTGTATGTTCATAAATGGTGATCAAGCACATTGGTTGGTCCATAATGTGCTCTTATTGCGTTTAAGATATCTGATCAAGCACATTGATTGGTCCATAATCGTTTTGTTTTTCTGCTAATAGTATGAGAAATTGTTTTCCTAACGATTGAAAATTGAATGGCAGAGTGTGTTCGAGATTCTCGTAAATACTAATATATATATATATATATAATTTTTAGTTATTATATGAGATTTCGGAAATATAAGTTCACAACGTGTAGAATATCTCACTATATTACAATATTAATATTTATGGAATCTATATATTTGGGTTCATAAAAAATAAATCTATCTAATATTTTAAACAAAAACGAATATATGTAACTTCAAAATAATTCTTGTTATTATATCGAAAATTAAAAATCTTGTTACCATTTTTTTCAGTTTTTTATCTCTGTGATTGATATGGAGACAAAAATAGGAGATTGATTAGGATTTTCATTCCATATCATAAAAGAAAAAAAAAATCGAAAAAACAGAGGCATATAATTAAGCAATAATTAATGAAAGTGTGTTAAGTTACTATTTTTAGAGTGTAATTAATGAATTTGGTGGGAAAGATTTTCTAAACATGAATTAAGTTAATCTTTATTATATATTAATAGATTTTGCAATTAGCAGGGTTGGGTTACGGCTTGCTACTTGCGGGCCAGTCCAGCTAGATTGTGGACAATGTCAATTTAGTGAAGGCCATCAAAATAAATACATAACAAGAAGAAACTAAAACAGAAGGACCCATGAGGAAAGAGTAAGGACCCATGACTGCGATTGACTAGTTTGCTCCAATTCTTGCTCAGAAGAGTAACTACTTACTATCTAATTCATTTTCAGTAGGCCCAAAAAATCGATTGCCAATGCCAACTTGCCAAGCACTGTAAAGTGAGCTGTCACAGTCCTTAATGACATAATGGGTTATTCGATCACGTGCGCATACACATAGACAAATAAAAATTTATATATTATATGTATACTGATGCAAGTGTGAGCGTTCTGGTCTGGTTTGGGGTAGATCGATTCTTTTCCTCGTCGGTAGAACGTCGGAAACCTGCAAATAACTCTCACACCGAGGGTTGTGTCCGGTGAAGAGCCTCCGATGCTTAAGTCAGTATGTGTATGAGTATACTGGAGTTGAGTAATAAAAAATCGTGTTAAGGAAGAAAGACTCACCCCCTTTATATAGGAGTGAAATACCTGCCCTAAGGCTGCCCGGATTTGATGAGCTGGCTGCCCAAGCTGACCGTCCGTACTCTGACACAGCGCGCATGTCAGAAGTGGCGCGAGACGTTGGGAGTTGTCAGAGGTGGTTGTCGCTATCAACCAACAAGTTCTCGACACGTGTCCTCCTGCACATGGGATAAATATTCTTCTGAAATTCCGATAGAGGCTCTTTCACACGCCTGTAACTAGGTCGATCTATGAAGTGTTACGTCCACGAAGTGGTCGACTGATCGAGGTCGACTGAACTGCTCGACCGTTCTCTTGGTCGAAGGATAGATTGGTCGATTGCTTAGCTATTCGACTGGTTGACTGGTCGATTGCTTAGTTGGTCGACCGGTCAACCAGTCGATTTTCCTATCACTCGGCTTGATTTCTTCACGGCATGGCCTCTTCGACCGGTTCAGCAGACCGGTTTAGCCTTGTGGGTATAATATCCT